TCTGAGGACCATTCTGTCTTTGTAGCAACTACTCAGCTCTGGTGCTGTGAAACTACTCAGCTCTGGTGCTGTGATGTAAGTAGTCACACAAATATGTCCACGAAGGCATGTCACTGTGTTTCAATACAATTTTATGGAGTTTGGCAAGCTGTTTGTCTACCCCTAATTTAAATTTAGGCTGGGAAGAGTCATCATGGAATATTGGGGAGACCAATCTTTTTTTTTTTTTTTTAACAATTTTATTTACTTATTTGAGAAAGAGTGAGAGAGAGAGAGAGAGAGAGAGAGAGAGAGAAATATTGGGAGAACAAGTGTTGAGGGGGCAGAGGGAGAAGCAGACTCCCCGCTGAGCAGGGAGCCCGATGTGGAACTCGATCCCAGGACCCTGAGATCATGACCTGAGCCGAAGGCAGACGCTTAACAACTGAGCCACCCAGGCACCTTGGGCAGAACAACCTTAAGAAAAATTGGAGTACTGCTGTACAAGTACTGTGTCCTCACTCACTGGAAGTTTGCTGGGAGCCCACGATGTGTTTGCTGCCTCTACAGGAAGTACTGTAGATATAAGAACAAATAAAACAAGCCCCTTACCCTGGCAAGACTTCCTCCAAGTTTTAAAAATATATTCATCTTAAATTGACAAAAAGATGATATATTTGATGGTTGAATATTAGTAGCTGAAAGAGATAAGAGTACTAATTCCAGAAGATACGTTAATTTTTTTTTTTTTTTTCCTGACAGCACTTTTGGAAAGTTATAAGGAAAACACCCAAAAACCCATTGTAATTTCAACAGCCACAGCTAAATAAAGGGCACAATTCGAATCCCAAATATAAACACAGACACAATCTCTAAAGTTCTTTGTTTTTGGACGCTGCTCACTGGGTTTATCTGTGACATATATACGTAATATGACTGAAATTTGACTGCTCTTGAAAGTTGGAACTTCTAGTTCTGTTTCTGTTGCTAGTGCTTTGTATAGCCTGGGCTCCCAATATAAGCTACTCATCATGAGAGAAAACCAGTGACAGTTGTACTCAGATCTGATGGCACATAGTCAAAAAAACATGAAACTATCACTTGATAGTGATTATCTAATATCTCCAGAGCTGATACATACTGAAGACGACCTTTGTCATTGACGTCTGTTGTTACTAATGGCAGCATGTTCACAGACTGACTGGGAGTGATGAAGGTAATGATAACGGGGGCAAACCAGGTCGAGTGCCTCCTACACTACTTTGTCAGTGAACACCACTGGCAAGATCCCTGTCCTCCTGGAGCTTATGTTCTTGTTGAGGAGGACAGACGGTACACAAGAGGAACAAAGGAAATGTAGAGTGTGTTGGGTGCCAACATGCACTAAGGAGAAAAAGAAAGCAGAGAAAGAGTGGGAAGAGTTGGGGGCAAAGTTTCAAATTTTTAGGTAGGATGGCCAACAAGGCTGCAGTGAGAAGGGACAGTTTGAATAACTACCTGGAGGAAGTAAGGGAGTGCACCATGAGGCTACCCGAGGGGAGAGCTTTACACGCTCACACCCACACCCACGCCGAGCAAGTGCTAACACCCTCAGGTGGGAAAGTGCCTGGCAGGGTGAAGAAGAGGGAGAAGGTCAGTTTGACTGGAGCTGAGTGAACAAGGAAAAGGATAGGAGGAGGAGCAGAGAGATGATAGTGGGTGAGGCCAGTCTGAGGGCAGGTCCTTGTAGCCACATAAAAGGATTTGGGCTTTTATTGTGCGTGAGGTGGGAAGCCACTGGAAGGTGTGAGCCAAGAAGTGACATGATGTGGCTCAAGTTTCTAGAGGATTGTTAGAGCTGCCGTGTTAGAAAATGGGTTGTAGGGAAGGAAGGGCAGAAGCAGGGATATGGGTTGGAAGGCCTGGAGCAGTCTTCCAGATGAGCAACCTTGGTGGCTTGGGTCAAGATAGAGTCATGGAGAAGGAGCTGCTTATTGGATATGATTTGATGGTAGAAGCAGCAGGGTTTACTGATATATTAGGTGTGAGCTGTGAGAATGAGGCTGGTGGTAAATACACATGATTCATATAGAAAAGGACACTGTGGGTAAATATTTAAAACCTTTTTCTGATAGGGATGCATGATGAAAAGGGGTGGAGGCCACTGGAGTAGATGATCAGGGATTCTGAGGAGACAGAGACCACTCAGGGTAGGATGGGCAGTGCTGGACTTGGTTGGGCCTTGAAGAAGGGGCAGCATTCACACACATACAGGAAGACCTGGGGGCACTATGGGTCCTCAAGGAAAGGGAGGTGGCTCTGTCCAGGCCTGTTTGAGAGTTAGTCTGTGTGGAGCCCTGAGTGCAGGCAGTAGGTTTTAAGATTGAAGTGGAAGCAGGAGGCCAACCTGGCCTACGCTTGAACTCCAGATGGAGGAGTTTAGACTTTCTTAAGGCAGTGCGTGTGTGTGTATGTGTATGTATGTGTGTGTGTGTGTGTGTGTGTGTGAGTGTGAGAGAGAGAGAGAGAGAGAGAGAGAAAGAGATTGGGAATTTCAGCCTGGGAGAGTGGGGAGAGTGAGTGATACGAATCTGCATGAACAATTTGCTCCTCTAATAAGCTCGGAATGAGTGCCATTGGTTAATCAATTAATAAATGTTAGCTCAGTGGCCAGAATGATTTATTTAGAGATGGGACTATGTCAACAAGTTATTCTCTATCTCTCTCTGTAGTGTTCCATATTTGCCGATTCACAGATATAGCATATGTAGTATAGTTAGGACACACTATATAGTATAACACACAGTACAATTATATAGATCTATGTATATACTTATTTATGAGAATGACTCAGTTGGCCTCAGTTTGTGCTACACATTACAAATACTTTTCTTCTGATCATGTAGCTGCATTTTAGAAAGCTTTCTCTGTACTTTACAAAGTAGTTAAGGTTTTCGGGTGAATGTTACTTAATTGGTTTTCCATGCACTGTGTCATCGTGAGGTCTTGCCAGCACCCATCCCGCACATTGCTGCTCGGCGTTTCAAGATGCTGCACCCAAGTGCCCCAGGCATAAACAGTATGGCGGAAATACCCTTTTCCCTGTCTGTGTTTGTAAGACAGTCTCTTTCATGCCAGAAGAAGTATTTTGGGAAGATGATTCATGTCACATTTTGGCCTCATTACAGTTTTAAGTTGTAAATGGTGCTGGTTTGCCTGGAGGTGTAAACATAAATTTTATCTCCATATGCATATGGAAAACCTGGGACTGAAAAAGCACTTTTTCTTCTTGAGTTCTGTTTCAGGCTACAAACAGAGAGGTTAACATGATGTTTATCAAAATTCTCTTTTTATTTTATTGAGAGCACGCTGCCAAAAGAATGCCAAAAATCGTGCTTCTGAAAGAATACTGATTACTTGTGGCCCTGCTTCCTTCCGTTCTCCATTTCCGAACACAGATGGAGAAGTTGAAGCACCTAATGTCTTATTGTCACAAGCAGATGATTCTGTAAGATAAATAAACACTGTGCTTTCTCTTTTGAAATAGTGTGAAAAGTGAGAACAGGTGTTAAATTATTGTCTGTAGTTATAAGTAACAAGAGGTACAAGTTTATTCAAAGTTTATTGAGGTGCAGAAGATAAATTAAGGTGAAGCTATTCTGACTAGTTCACTTTGCTTTTTGGTAAATATAGTACTGTTTAAAGGGTATGGCAAACCAGTTACTTGTTCAGTGGTTTAAATGCATGATGGCAGTAGAAATGAGAAGTTACACGGGAGTTCAGCCTGCCTTAAACACAGAACATCTTAACAGTGTTTATAGATTTCTCTCCAAATAAGTAAGTTTTAATAGGGGGGGAAAAAAGTAAGTTTGGAGTGTTAGCCACACTCCAGATTTTTCTCTGACTTCCAAGGAATTTCATATCCTACCTCAAAATTTAAAATTTGACAAAATTATTCTTTCATTTGAAATCACAGCAGTGAAAACAGTATAAAGGAATGACAGTGAATTTATTGTTATTTTTTGCCACATGCCCATTTTGGATGGCCAATTTTTTTTTTTTTAGTAGAATGACACTTTCTGATCTACTGACACAACCAACCCCTTCCTCTCTTGCTTTGGTCATAAAAAAATTATTTTCTAATTCAGCTGTGGGTTGGTGCTAACTATTTGGATCTTTTCATTGCTGCCATTTAAGGAGATTTATTAATCTTTAAGTAAGATTCCTCAATTAGCAATACACCAAATGCATTGTGAGCTCTTCTTTGATACTGAAGTGGTGATTTGAAAAATATTCATGATTTGAGGTGCTTAAGCATCTTTGCCAACTCAGTTAAATCCAGCTTCATGGCAGAATCTGGCCTTGAGTTCCTTCATGCTGTTGGAATCTTCCAACTGTGACAGGTTACATCTACTTTTTCTCTTTTTCTTATCTTGAGATGACCTTTTTTTTTTTTTTTAAAGATTTTATTTATTTGACAGAGATCACAAGCAGGCAGAGAGTCAGGTACAGAGAGAGGAAGGGAAGCAGGCTCCCCGCTGAGCAGAGAGCCCGACGGCTTGATCCCAGGACCCTGAGATCATGACCTGAGCTGAAGGGAGAGGCTTTCACCCACTGAGCCAAATTATTGATTTTTCAATCTTGAGATGGCCTTTTATCTTCTCTGGGTTATCCACTGACTGCGCATTGACTGGCACTTTCAAAAATTCAAATTTATTCAAATTTATTCAAATTTCAAAAATTCAAATTTAGTGGGTCTGGGGTAGGGTCTGAGCACTTACATTAAAAAACAAAAACAAAAGCAACTGAAAAGCTGTCCAAAGATAATTCTGACGTTCTAAAAGGACAACAGGTAGCGGCTAAATAAAGGGCATGATTTGAAACCCAAATATAAATATAAACACATCGCTGAAGTGCTCTGGTTTTGGATGCTGTTACCTGGGTTTAACTGTGACATATATATGTGGTATGACTGAAATTAGACAACTCTTGAGACTTAAGTAACATTTTTGCATTTCATGCTTCCCCTTCTGTCTTCTCAGCCATCATGTACGTCATGGGAGCACTTGGTCCTGCCTTGGGATATTTACTAGGTGGACTTCTTATTGGTTTTTATGTCGATCCCAGAAATCCTGTTAACCTTGACCAGAATGACCCTCGTTTCATTGGAAACTGGTAAGAATTGTTTACTAAATTTTTCATTTCATTTGTTATTAATGATAGTTCAAGTCATAGTATCCCTATAGTTAAAATAAAAATTTCCCCCATGGGAATATGAAAACCAGCTAAAAGTCGCCTAGAAGGGAGTGGAGGGCAGAATAGTAATCTTCCAGAGGTATCTATCTGTCCTAATCCCAGAACCTATGAATGTGTTGGCTTACATGGCAAAGGAGACTTTGCAGATGTGATTAAGCTAGGGATCTCGAGATAGGAAGGTTTTCCTGATGTCAGAGGGGAATGGGCCCTGTATAATCACAAGAGTCCCTATTAGGGAAACAGGGAGATAGGAGGGTCAGAGTAAGAAAGAGATATGGTGATTGAAGCAGAGGTTGAAGCGACATTCTTTGTATATGGGGGAAGGTATCATGAACCAAGAAACACACTCGGGACTCTAGGATCTAGGAAACCCTAGAAAAATAGGCTAGAAGGAAGGCGGTCTTGCCAACCCACATGAGACTTCTGACCTCCAGCGCTGGAAGATAACACATTTGTGTCGTTTGAAGCCACTAAATGTGGGGTAGTTTGTTATAGCAGCAACGGAAAAACTAATGCCAAGGGCTTGGGAACATCAGCTTAACCAGCCTTCTTTAGGGTTGAGGCGCTTTTTGCTATAAATAGCAGAGTGCAGGAGTAGAAGGTGGCTGTGTTGGGGCTTTCCTGTGAACTTGAGTCCTAGCTTTCGTTATCTTTTCTGTGCCTTTAAAAAAATATTTTCTCCCACTTCCTTATTATATCTGCATTTCTACTTTGTCAGCCCTCCCCGAAGGCCCAAAACTCCGGCAAACACCCTCCCCCCCCTCCTTTTCCACTGTCACACTCTTAGTGAATCTTTTCACTTGGTAATTGTTTTTCCAACAGAGTGCTGGAGATTTAGCTGTTCTCTCACTTGCTAGCCCTTAATTGTCTTGCTAAACAAGTAATTTTGGGGACTTAGAATGAGAACTCCAACTTTGGATGTTATGTTATTTATCCTCATAGCCAGGGCTGTGTTTCAGTTCCTCATAATCCTCGACTTGAACGTGAATTATTTCTTCATGATAGCAAGCACTAACCGACAAGTATTGGCTTCCTGAATTCATTTAACACGGATTAGTGATAGGTATACATTGATAAGACATGTTCGTCTTATAGCAAAGAGAATAGTTCAGTAGTAGAAATTGGTGTCAACTGATCACCCTCAAAGGAGTTTCTTAGAGCACTTGTGTTATCTCTGCATTTCATTATAAAATAGCCTTATAACTCGGAAATACGTGGGAATAATGCTTAAGGCTCTCTGTTTTCAAAGCAGTTAAGAAATATTAATTAAATTACATAATGCTCCTTATTTTTATAAGTCTTGCTCTTTGAGGATGGATGTGCTGATATCTAGATGAACCTGGGCTTGTAGAATTTTCCAATCGTACAGAAGGAAGTTCCCTTGTCAGCGTTAGGGGAATAACACAGGAGTTTTAAGTTCTTGACTAATAGTGAAATTTTTGGCCTCAACTACTGTTTTCTTTGTAGTTCTGAAATAAATCAGAGTAAGGATTTTTTTAATTCTCAAAAAGGAGATTAGACAAAACAATAGAAAAGACAGTATGTATATGAACATTTGGTGTACATTTTGTGTTCTATATAGGAGTCCATGAAAAGAACATGGCAATAAGGGAACATCTAGAGGGAGGGAGAAAGGGGAGGAGGACCAGATTGGGGGCAGGGAGAAGGAAGGAGAAAGGAGCTTTAGGCTTACAAGTATTTTATGCTGACTTTTAAAAATTTTCTAGACATCGATCTAATTGGTAACAAAGTAGCGTTAAGAGTACAGACCCCAAAACCATACCGTCCAGGGTTTAAGTCTCTGTCTGCCACCTAATAGCTGTGTGACCCTGAGGTAAGTTACTTAACTTCTCTGTGCCTCAGTTGTTGGTTTGAAAAGAATCCATAAAATGGAAGTAATTACAGCATCTACTTCATAGGGTTGTTGTGAGGAATAAATGAGTCTATATAGGTGGGGCTTTAAATAGTTCTTGCTACCTAGTATGTGCTAGCTATTATTAAGTCCTTTGAATTTAATCCATGTTCAGGAACTTGTATTTATTTTAATGTTCTAATATTAAAAATTGAATTTTATTTATTGAGCAGGTCTGTTTGTAACAAACTTCTACCTTGACCAAACACAGAGTTATTTGATGCAATGCTATTTAATCCAATGCCTAGCAGTAATGATGGATTTTTTCATTAACATGTGCTGAAAGATTGAAGGAAAGAATGAATAATGCTAACGTTTATTGGGTACTTACTATGTGTCAAGCATTCTACTAAGAGCTTCACAAACATTTTTATTTCAGCTTCATATGCTTAAGCCTGCATATATAACAACGATATGTACTCAATAATGTTCCATTTTACAGATGAGGAAATTGATGCCCTGTGATTTGAATAACTTGCCCAAAGCCTCAGAGGCAGTGAGAGCTGGGATAAGAAACCGAGTACAGGCGAAGCTCTTAGTCAGTATACTTAACTGGCCCTACTTTGTGCATAGACTCTGAGGGGTGGTTTGGAAAAGGGACTTAGGGACCCTGGTTTTTCAATTTTAGCTCTTACTGACGGGTCTTTTCCTAACATATAACTCACACTTTCTTTTCTTTCTTTCTTTTTTTTTTTTTTTTTAAGATTTTTATTTATTTATTTGAGAGAGACAGTGCACGCACAAGAGTGGGGAGGGGTGAGGCAGAGGGAGAAGTAGACTCCCTGCTGAGTGGGGAGCCTAGCCTGACTCGGGACTTGATCCCCGGACCCTAGGACCAGGACCTAGGCAGAAGGCAGACACTTAACCCATTGAGCCACCCAGGCTCTTCCTGTCTTCCTCAGCTTCTCTCATGGTCTTTTTGGCCTCATCATTGTTATCATTGTCAATGCTGCTGAAGACCATTGAAGAGTGTGGGCCAGTTTGCTCGGCTTTGAAAAACCCCCAAACTTTTATACTATTTTTATATTATTTTTGTTTATTTTCTATAATTCCTCCCCTCCTTCTGTTATTTACTCTTATTCTGGCCTATATAAGTGTATCTTTAATGTTTGCATCTAATTTTAAGTCAATGGCTCTGAGTGGAGGTGCGGGGGTGGGGCTGAGTACAGATCCACAAAAAAACAAACCCAAAACTAGCTACCATGAAGTGATTGTTGATTTGGGGGCAGGTATTTGTTGAGGTCTGTTATATACATTGTCTTATTAATTTTGATGACTCCAAAAAGCAGTTCACATTATTCCCCTTTCCGATGAGAAGATTGGTTTGCGAAAGTGAAATAATAATTTCCCCAGGATCTTACAGCCAGTAAGTCATGAAGACAAGACAAAAAAAGCCCACATTTGTCTGAAGCCACAGCTCAAGAACTGTCCCCTATATTGTGCTGTTTGTCCTGTTCTGCTTTGGGAACTGAAAGAGTCCAAGGGCCTTGAATGCAGAATTATAAAAAGGGATTCAAAGGTGGTAGACTAGCAGGGGTAGTTTATTAGTAAAGGCCCCATAAGCAGCCAAGTACTACAGGGGCCAGATATGGTCATAGCTATTTTCTCTGCAGACATTTAAAGAATTTTTTTTTTTAAATCTATCTCATTCAGTTTATTTATTCAGTCACTGGGTTCTTGGTTATAATACTGAATAATTAAAATTGCTAGAAGTCTGCCCCTAGCAATCTTCTCAAAATAAAGCCCTTTTCCTCCAGTTGTTTAAAAATCTTTATTTGATATAACTCTAAGTATCTTTGAAAATAGCACACTGGATTATTAATGACTGGTTCATGAAATTATTCTGTCAGTGAAACTGTGACCTTTAACAGCTGATAATGGTACTTTAATAGGATCACTATTTTTTAAAAAATGAATTTTCACTTTGCAATTGATCTGTATTCCTAATGGGTTGAATTTGACATTGATGCTTAGAATGCTGCTTGCGTTCAGGTTACAACTGATGGGAATGTGCTGAGACAGAGGACAGAGTCTGAGCATCAAGAACTTGCAAGCTTGAAGGACAGAGATGAGAGCTGAGGAGTCCTAGTAAGAAAGTGGCAATGCTGTTCTGTGGGATCAGGGGCCTCTCCTTGCTAAGAGAGGACTGAAAGGGGACTGAGAGATTGCCCTTGAGGAATTAGACAGGCAAGAAGCCCAAGGCCTTAACACATGGCTCTAACGCAGGACTAGAATTTGAGTACTACTCTCTGTATTTGCTTCTTAGTCTCTGCAGCTTGGCAACCACAGATGGGTTCAAAGACAGACTCTCAGTTCAGCAGAGCTCACGGTCTGCTTCTCCCAGGAAGTTTTCTGACACCCATTTCCTTTACCTGAACTTTTATAGCATTCACAGTCTGTACCACATGATCTGACACTTAATTGTATACATGCTTGTGTTTCTTGGATTGTTTCTTGTATTTTTAGCTCCCTTACAAGTAGGTTGTAAGTTCTGGAAGGCAACAATCAAATATAAACGTCTTTGGTGGCCCTCATGGTTAAGTGTTGTAAGGACTAGCTAGCTAAGAGGGTCAAAATATTCCTAAGTGCTTGCAGAAAAATATTTGAATGCCATTAACAATTTAAAATACATTTCACATGAGATATGAATTGTTTGCTTCTAAGAAAAATATGTTTATTTTGGTCTGCAAAGCATGCTATAGGGTCTATATTATTTTTCTGTTGTATGGTTATGAGTTGTTTATTTTTTGATTTATTATGAAATGCACATTATAGCAGAGCTAACAAATATTTCAGTAAAATTCTAGTCAGGTGGCTAATTACAATGTTCACTATGGTACTGGTATAATTTTCGGGAGGGTATCTCATTTATAACATAGGGAGGAGTCCTATGTTTTCTTAGTTTGTCCGACGTCCTACTGCTTTACCATTGCCTTGCTTTACAAAAGTTTTCCCTGGAGAATTTTATTACCATGAGCTTCTACTTTGCAAATTTGTTTTCATACCTAATGCAAAAGCCATAAATGCTGCTCACGTTTCCCGATTTTTTAGGTGGAGTGGATTCCTCCTTTGCGCCATTGCAATGTTTCTTGTGATATTCCCAATGTTTACTTTTCCAAAAAAGCTTCCTCCTCGACACAAGAAAAAGAAAAAGAAAAAATTTTCTGCTGATGTTGTTAGTGACGATGACGTTATGAAGGAGAAATCAAACAATAGTGAACAAGTGGACAAAAAAGTTTCTTCTATGGGATTTGGAAAGAATGTCAGAGGTAACGTATATCTTTTGAGTGAATATGTGCACAGTATTTTATTTTGTTTTGTTTTTATTTTTTCTTGTGCACAGTATTTTAGATCAGAGCTACTCAAAGTGTGGACCCCGGTCAGTGCTACCCCACCAAATGTTACTGACCTGTGTATGACAGGATAAGTACTGAGAATTTGAGTAAGCGTTGAGAATCTTTTCAAGAAATTTACAGTAATTTTATGCCTACTGAATCTAGTAATAATAATATTAATAATAAAAACTGGACTTCCATTTTGTGTATTTAAAAAATCTCGTTTTCTTACAATTCACTTTTAATATATTTTACAAAAATATCAGTACATGATAACCTGGAAATCTTAATTTAAAAATGGTTCTTCATTACAGATTGTTTGAGAAGTACTGATTGAGATCCTAAAAATACAGATTTTTATGTATGTCATTTACTGTAATGAGAGATGTCTGATTTCTAAAATACTGCCTTCGGTGATGAATGATTTGTTTCAGAGGCATGGTGCGTTTGGTAGTGTGGCCAGATCCTTGCCTAAATAAAAAACCTACCACTAGACATCAGTCTCATCCAGCAGTGGCTCTGCCAAAGGCTTGTCAGTGGCCATAGAGAAGAGTAGCCAAGGAATGGGCCTCTAAACATCTAGAAAGTTTCAGTAATGTGTACTTGTCTACTTTTTCATTTTTATTTGTCTCATAAACAATGAATTCTGGAACACTGAAAAGAAATAAAATAAAATAAAATGAAAAACAAACAAAAAACAAGGACTTTATTAAAACTAGGTTAGGCAATCTCAAACCTAAGCAATTCAATTATAACCAGGCAATATTTGTTCTGTGTTCAATATATCTGTTGAGTGACAGTAAGTCTGTCTAATGCAAGAAGCCTATAATGCTATGCTCCCATTAATTTCAGCCTATTTCCTAAATTCCCTGAATTGATTTTTTTTTTTTTTTTTTGAAATTCTGAAGCATAATATTTATCAACTGCTTACATCAGTCAGGGTTGTTTTAAGTAAAATTTACCTAGGCACATTATCATCTCACTTTGACTATATAAACACTGAAGCCAAAGAGGAATCTTTCAGGCCTAGAAGGAAGTTACTAATGTATTATGGATGCCCTGTCTACCTCTGAGATCTTACTGTCTTGGGGTGAAGGGCTGCTGACCACTGGTACCTGCCTGAGGGTCTGTAGGTCTTCCTTGCCTGAAGGTCTCCTTTTGTCCAGTTTTCTTTCTGGGCTGGGAAACCTCTTGGCTTCTGCTCGAGGCTGCTATCAAGTGCCAAGGAATTAACACTCTCTCACCCTAACATACAACAGTCTTAACCACTGGCTGATGAACACCCCAGCTTCCCCACTTGATGGATGAGACAGTTCTGAGGTCTATTTCTACATTCCCTGTATCGCACGCCCTAAGCAGTGTTTGCTGAGCCTCCCTGATAAACTGTGTGGACTTGAATCTTTGACTCAGGACCTACTTGTGGTAGGAAGCACACTTAGGCACGAGGGTTCAAAAGCCATCATGGAATTTTAAGATTGTTTTTCCAAATTGAATCTACATACTATTTTATTGTATATCATCTTGTACTGCTAGGGATTTCTCTTCTCCATCTTTTTTTTAATGCTCATTATAATAGATTAGGATATTTTCTTTTAAAGGAAAGAATAAGAGGAATCTTTTAGCAGTGATGGGTAGTTGGTTTCCTTTCTGATTTTCCTGTCAGTGTTTCTGATATATTCTCAACTTTTTCATCCTATGCCTTCATTGTGATGACTGATCTCACTTCTGCCTCTAAATCTCCTGATTAGGACACAGAGCTGGTTCATTTTTTACTTTCACTTGCACTGAATTCTCTAATTGCATCTAGTCTGGAATTTCAAGAACCACTTTCTCCTGTTAGAAAGGAATCCTGTTTTAATCGGAGTATATAGTGCAAATGTTTTGTTGGAAATGATTCAAATGATGTTGATGATGTAGAAACAATATTCAATTAGACTATTTAAAATTAATTCATATTTATCTTATACTTATTGATTTCCTCCAGAATATATAATACCTATCACCTATAGGAAATGACAGTCTAGTATTTAATCTGGTTTTCAAAAGGATAAATTAAATCTCTGGGAGTTATTCAACTGTTGACATAACTTTTTATTACAAAATTGAGATTCACCAGTAAGGCCTTGAATTAAAGAATGGTTGCTAAGATTTCATTTTGAATTAAAGCTGAGTTTGATTCTCAGATCCTTTTTTCCCTTGTCCTGCTTTCTGGAGGAGGGCTCTTCTAAGTCTTTATTTCATATTTGAAATTAGCTTCTTCAGAGAGGAGGTGGCAGAATATCTAAGTTAATAAGTCATACTTCCTTGAAAAAATGATTTGGGCCATGCAAATCCACTCTCTGCCTCCACATTTTAATGATAGACATTGGGAAAATCTGACTCAGTGTTTCTAGATTCTTATTATAAATTATGCAGGAATAAGACTGTTTTAAAACACCACAAAGGAGAAAGTAGAATTTTTAGTGGGTCTGAATCACCTTTCCATAAAGAGATTAGCATTGATTGCATCAAATCTTACCAATAAAAATAAACCTTTAAAATATTTAACTGGATCAATTTTCCTGAGGTTTGAGGTCCAGCATTTTAAAGTCTTCCAAATTTAGCTGGGTATCTTCCTAAATAGAAAACTTTTGGTGGCAGTTAATCATAAGAAACATTTTATTTTTGTGTCCACTTTTAATCTTTTAGCTGCTTAGCATGACTAGTTAGCATAAAATGTAACAGATTTTTCTCTGCTAGACTTTTGTCTGTGTTAGACTGCAATATGTTTATAATCCTAACTGAACAAAATAGTTACTCAGAGAGGATGAACTGATTTAAATAGGCCACTTGAAGTTATGGAATTTTGGATTGTGTTTGTGTTGTCATCATTTAATTTGATGACTGGTCACTCTGTAGAAGAGCTACTTTATACTCTGGTGGAGATGAAGATGAGTGAGCCATGGTTTGCCCTCAGGGAGCTTGTAGTCCATGGAGGGAGACAGGACGAGCACAGATGGAAAGACCATAAACAAGGACAGATGCAACAGTGTGACGTTCAATGGCAGTCAAGGGCACATCGAGTTTAGGGGTCAAAAGAGGTTTCATGGAGGAGGTGGGATTTGTGGAGAACCTTGGCAGACTTGGAAAGTTTCAGTAGGTGGAGGAGGGACAGTTCCAGTTAGAGAGCAAAGGCAAGGTCAGGCTGTGTAGATGTATTTGAGAACGCTGAGCAGGTGTATTGTGGTTGGTGTGGAGAGGCCTAGGAGAAGAGGTTGGACAGTTAAAGCAGGGCCACATTGTGCATAGAGAGCTTGAGTTCTAGGAGCTTTTAACTGACTCTGTGCCTAGAAGGCAGTGGGGAGGTTTGAGCAGGCATTTGGCCACACTCCTTTTAGAGAGGGGTAGGAAGGGAGGAGGGGGCCCAGGTAGAAAGCTGTGCAGAGTCCCATTGAGAGGCAATGATGGTTTTGACTGGCACACAAGGAGAGGACAGTAGTCTGTGAAACTAGGCTCCCTACTTCTATCGGTGTCCCTCTGGGTTGTTTTCAACTCTGCAGCCAGAAGGATCTTCTTAAAATGCCACTCCTCTGCTCACAGCTTTTATGGTCTCTTGTCTCACTCAGAGAAAAGTCTCTTTCCTGTATGACCTCCTAGGGGTAGCATCTGGTCCCTGCTTATCTGTTCAACCCCATCTCCCTCTTGCAGCTCCTTCTGTTTAGTCCACTTCAGCCACATTGGGCTTATTGCTGGTCCTCAAACCTGTAGGCGTACTCTCACCTCATGGCCTTGGCATTTGCTATTCCTCTGCTGGGAATGCGGTTCCCCAGATCCCCTCACTTCCTGCAGGATATTACTCAGAGTCCCTTCTCAGGGAGGCCTTGCTTGGCTGCCCTATTAAAAAATCTCCAACTTCCTCCAAAGCCTTTTTTTTTTTTTTTAAAGATTTTATTTATTTCAGAGAGACAGAGAGAGAGAGAGAGAGAGAATACGAGCAGGGGGAAGGGCAGAGGGAGAGGGAGAAGCAGACTCCCCGCTAAACAGGGAGCCCGACAGGGGGCTCGATCCCAGGACCCTGGGATCATAACCTGAGCCGAAGGCAGACACTGAACCACCCAGGTGCCCCTCTCCAAAGTACCATATCTCCTGCCCTTCTCTATTTTTCTCCTTAGTATATTGCTATCTAACATACCATATATTTTCTTTATCTTATTGTTGTCTCCACAGTGAGAAAGTAGACCTCATGGAGGCAAGTGTCCCATGTTCACCGTGTTCCTTGATGAATTTATACCACCTTATAGATAGTCAATATTTGATGCATGAATTATTGAGGAAGGAAAGGTTGTGTCTGTAGGATATAGCCACTGATGGGATAATGGGGAGGTAGGTATCAAAGGTGGTTTCAGGATTTCAACCTCAGGTAATGTGGAAAGAGCTTGCTGAGAAGGACAGAAGGAATAAATTCCAAATTTGAGTTGCCCGGGAATATCCTGAACTATTGCATGGGGCCCTTTGCTGGGTATTTTAAAACTGGTATAGTGTGGAATGTGTTGGGGTCAATCCTTGACTCAGCAAAGAGGGATCGCCAAGGCCAGGTGCTTGGTCCGTGCTGTCTTAGTTCCACTGCACATTGCCTTTGCTCCCTTGCTGAACTACAGTTTAGTTTTATGTTTGCAGCTTTTATTGACCTCTTGCTTGAACTCCCCGTATTTGCCATAGGAGCATGCTCACTGCCCTTTATATAAAACCCTATTTTGTGAGAACAGTGGTTCTCAAACTTCGGCTACCTAGGAAGCGCCACAAGGGCTTCTCAAAACCCAGAGCGCTGGGCCCTGGCCCACAGTGTTCAAGTCAGAAAGCCTTCAGTGGCCTGAGTATTTGCTTTTTAAAAATTAATTAATTAATTAAATTTTAGAGGGGACAGGGGGAGGAACAGAGGCCAAGAGAGAATCCTA